ATTTTTTTCGATGCTATAAAAGTCCGGGCAAAATATTGTCGTAGAATAAAGTTATCCATTTTCCTGTGATCCTAAGGCCACCTGGACAATTTAAACACTTGACTCAAGAGAAAATTAATTTTTTTTTCCTTTGATCTTTCTCATCACTCATTTTTAAAAGAAAGTTTCATGCTAAATAAATACTGCAATTCAAACACTTAAAAAATGCTTACAACTCAGAATCGATACTACATAATATTTTCATATAAAAGAATATTTACTACTAGCAACGTCACTCACTAAAATCATTAAAACACACATAAAAATATTATCTGAATAATTTAAGCAGTCAATGAAGTGCTGAGCGCTTAAGTGCATCTAATAGCAGCGCCGCATCAGTTGATGCTATTAATAAATTATAAAAACAACGAATCAAACAATTAACATGCACATATGTATGCACACAAGTGCATGCATATTAATAGCAAATTCTGCCATCCAGATACACAATTCACCTTAGGAAATCGTTAACCATTTAAGCAGCAATAAAAATTGCATAAAAAGCAAATCAATGGAAAAATTAATAACAAAAACATTGTTTAGAAAATTTTTTTTAACATAAAATTTTAGCTAGTGGAATTTCATTTTTTTCTTAACCGCCAAAAAACTGCAATAATAAAGTTATATCAAAGCCAATTTATACTCCAGATATAATTTTTGCAGCACCTTAAGGTATCCATTATTTGTATGTATAATCGCGCGTAATCTAAAATTAAAAATGTGCATACATATGTATGTATGTATGTATATACAAATGTGCTTTTAAAATATTATTTCAGCAGCTTTCGTTGTTTGCCTGCAAACGCATGTAAAATGTGAGTTTGCAATGGCGAGTTCGTGTCTTAAGTCTTTCGTGTTCCGCACTATCAGCAGGCGTTTGACTCCGCAGTGCAAGGTTAGCAATTTAAGTATGGTTAAAATAATGAGCTTGAATGTGTTGCGAAAAAAATGAATGGGAAAAATTTACTAGTCAAATTAATCAATTTCATAGTGAAACGATTAAACTCAATAAAAGGGAAAGAGAAACAATGTTGCAATTAGACCTCACAATCCATGCAAGTTTTTATTATTTTTAATCAAACTTTAAATAAAAGAATCAAGCAGCAATAAGTATTACCTTATATTTATATTTGTGAAACTTCAAGCAATGCTAAGACTTCCTGCTGGAATTAATGCAAACCCTTACGAATTATCGACTTTATAAGTAATAAAAACCGAAAAATTTTAGTATTTTATTATTAAAGTTTCTTTTATTATTTTATTTCGTTCTTTGATTTATTTTTTGGTTTTTCTTATTCTATTGTAATTTATTTTATACTATCAATCAATTTAATTTAAGTTAATTTAATTTAATTTTACTTTATTATTTTTTCATTTTATTTTATTTTATTGTATTTTGTTTTATTTTATTTTATTTTATTTTATTTTATTTTATTTTATTTTATTTTATTTTATTTTATTTTATTTTATTTTATTTTATTTTATTTTATTAT